TTCTCTCTCTCTCTCTCTCTCTCTCTCTCTCTCTCTCTCCCTCTCCCTCTCTCCCCCCTCTCTCTCTTTTTCTCTCTCTCTCTATCTCTCTCTCCCGCTTGCTCTCTAGTCATTTCTAACCACTAAAACACATTCAGCCAGCATCTCCTCAAAGTTGGCTATTGGCTAGTCAAATGTAGGAATTGCTTCCAACGTTAGCTTTGGAATTATACCAATATTGGACAAGACTGGGAGGATTCAGACACAGGGTACTTGATTTGGGAGTTTGAGGTCGCTCCCCCAGAGGCGACGGGATACAATATTCTGTGTAAATTGTCCCCTCCCGACTCGGGTTCGAAGATACTGTGTCAGAATCTCTCTCCAAGCTCAATTGGACTTGAAAAGACTACTCTGGGCAAATGACCAGGGAGTAGAATGCTGCAATTTTAAACTTGCTATCTACAACCCGCTTACAAATGCCCCCAACATACCTGCCACTATACTGTCTTCCCACTTAGCTCCTCTCTACACTTGTCTTGGCCCGATGGAATAGGCAAACACTAACAATGTCACCTTAGCAGAGACTGAGCCCACCATTTCGGAACTTCATGATGACCGTAAAGATGGTTCCAGTAAAGAACGGGATAGAGGGGGCCCATGTCCCTCGTGACTCATTGGAGCAGAGGGAGATCGGACTAACGCTAATATTACTTAAACACAATCCCTCATCATCACTCATCGCCACTATTATTTCTAAAATCATCACCGCTCTCAGATCAATGACTTACATCTATAATCCTGGAATCTCTGTCCGCTATTACATTTAATTGTTATACTAAGTATGCACGTAATACACTATTGGACACAATCATACGCACTTTTTTCTTCTAATCAGATGGCGTCAATCTCATATAAATGGGCAAGCGACCATGTATTACGAGGATTGTGGGGGGCAAATTAGGCTTGCACGATGTTCTGTACTAAAATGTCGAAGGAAAAAATAGGCTATTCTGTAGAATGCCACGCACGATGAAAAC